AAGTAGGTATTCTAAGCATCCGTCTAAAAGTCCATACTTCGAAAGCTTCGACTTTGTTTATGTTGATTACCTTCACACAGACATAATATTTTAGCATTCTGTATCTGAGTAGCTTGAGTTCCTGTTTTTGAGAAATTTCCGAAGTCTTAGGAAGGTTGATATTGCCTATTCTGTGTTGCATCCTGATCCCATGTTTAATTCAGCATACATCCCGAAAGTCTGTAACCTGTTCAATATTTTTTCCATCTAAACATATTTATCTTGAATACCCCAAGATATTGTCTCTACCTACTCACAATCAGCAACTTCATTTTGCCAGTGTTAATTTTCAAGCCCAGTGCCTCGATTAATCTGAATCTGATTCAGTAATGTCTGCATATCTGATATGGTTGATGGGGATTCCATTCACTTGAATGTCTATGGGGCTGTCCAAAAGTGGTTCAAACGCTCTTTTTGCATATCGATTTAACAGCATTGGAGACAAGATACATCAGTGTGGTTTGTACTGCTAAAAATTACAGTTTTAAGCTCATTAATTGGTTGGAATATCTTGACAAAGTATATTGCAATATTGCAGCTAGGGTAATCTATGCAGTTTACTATTATTGGTTTCACACCCCATCTTTCTTGTATCATTGAACCTGTAATACCAAGTTGTTCCATTCTAGTCGAATCTCTATTTATTCTCTTAAATTCTTATCATATTCATTGCCTCAATATATTCATCGCCTCATAATTTTCATCAACATAGTCCATGGCTTTATATTTGTAGGTTCCGTCTCATTCACTTTAGTTACTTAAGGTTAGTTTAGTTAGCGTATTACCAACGCCCAGCAGTGAATCTTTTCATCTTTTTTAAAATCAAGAGATGACACATATACAATATTCAAAATCCTTAATCAATAGTGAAATAGGAAATTCCTTTCATGATAATGCGAGGTAGGGAGGCACTAAAGAAGGCGCAAGATAAATGTGGAGAAAGTCAATCAAGGAAAAAGAAAAACTTACCGAAGACACAAGAAACCTAATGCAAACAAGAAGGGAAATGAAAGATAAACTCATAACGAACATAGCTGAGCTAAAGAGTTTAAACAAAACGATTACAAAGGCCATAAGGAAAGACATACGCAACTTCAACAATAAAGAAATAACTAATATCATAGAACAAAACAAGTGCTGAAACGGAAGTGGAAGACAGGAAAGAGGAATATTGACGGGATGAGAAATAACCTTCGAAGAGTATTATATAGTCGGGATGATTCCATTCAAGATGTGGAAATTCTAGTAATATAGAATGAAGGGTCCGAGGAACTTCTAGATATAACGGAAGGGGAGATTGAAACAGCCAAAAAATGCATGAAGAACAACAGAACCCCTGGAAAAGATGGAATTGTAACTGAAATGATGAAACTGGGAGGTAAGGTAAATGCGTCATAAAAGCCCTAAAAACTCTTTTCAATGCCTGTGTGACTGTTTCGTTTTAAATGTATAAGCTTTTTATGAGAATAATTACTATAGAATGAGACCTAAGCTAGATTTTCACCAACCACTAGAGCAAGCTGGATTTAGAAGTGGCTTTGGGAAACAAATGACCACCTACAAGTGATAAAATCCTCTATAGAGAAAGTTGTAGAATACAAAATACAATTGATATTAATATTGGTGGACTTTGAGAAATCTTTTGACACAGTTCAACATTGCTCCATGTTAAAGGCTCTTACAGAGTGCAGTAGGTATTGACCATAGGTAGGTACACAACTCTCCTCAAGAATATATAAAATAATACAACAGTCAGAATGTATCATGATGACACCAACAAATCAAATCCCCCTTGGAGAAAGATAGGTATTAGACAAAGAGACACCATTTCTCCTAAACTTTTCACTGGTTTGTTACAAAATGTCAAGAAGAACAATTGAGAAAATATCGGAGTAAACATCAATGGAGAGTATTTAATTAATCTGAGGTTTGCAGACGATATAGATCTTATTGCGTACAGGGTAGATCATGCATGTCAGCTTCTCCAAGACCTCCAAAGTACTTGTGCACGAGTTGGCCTTGAAATCAATTTCTCCAAAACACAATTCATGATCAACTTTGTAGGAACTGGCCAAAAACATTTCAACGTATGGCAAGCAAATAGAACAAGTTGATTCCTAGAAATGTTTAGGCCACGAGATTAAATTAGGAAGAAACAATCATGCAGACCACAGAATTGAACAGGAGAATAGGATTGACATTGTTAGCCTACGGAAAACTGAGGGATGTCTTTAAATCAAATCATCATCTGCTCGAAGAGGAAGGTCTTTGATCAATGTATGCTTCCAGTTCTAACATATGGAGCAGAAACATTGACTCTAACCAGAATATTGTGAACAGAGGGCAATGTAGAGATCATCTTGAATATACTTCTGAGAGACAAAATTGCAAATCATATCATCAGGGAAAGAACCGGGTTACGGACGCAGCTGAAGGAATCACCACGCTGAAATGAAACTGGCAGGTCATGTTGCTAGAGTCAGAGATGTGAGATGGACTAAGAAAATACTAGAAGTCTAGGTCTTCACTAGACACGATACGTATCGTAACTGAGGACGTCCCCCAACAAGATGGTCACACGATATTAAGCGCCGGAGAGAAATTGTAAGAAAAATTGTTCAAGATCTCTTGGACAACTCTATAATTCAACCTTCACATTCACCTTATGCAAGCCCAGTGTTACCAGTCAGAAAAGAAAAAAGATGAACCATGTTTAGTTTGTGACTTCAGAGCCCTAAACCGGATTACAGTAAATGATGGTTTTCCTCTGCTTCGTATTGATGACCAAATTGATCGTTTAAGCAAAAGTAAATATTTCACCATGCTTGATATGGCTGCTGGTTTCCACCAGATTAAAGTTAATTCTGAATCCGTGGAAAAATTGGCATTTATCACATCCGATGGCCAGTATAAATATTTACGCATTCCTTTTGGCCTTGCCAATGCTCCTACAATTTTTCAGCGTGCAATTAATATTTTATTACAAAATTAAATACAAAAAGGATTAGCTCTCGTTTACTTAGATGATATTCCTATACCTTCGCTAACAATTAAAGAAGGACGTTCTAGTTTACGAATAGTTTTAACCACTTTGAAAACTCATGGTTTTTCAATAAATATTAATAAATGTAATTTCTTAAAAGATGAGGTTGAATATTTGGGTCGAGTAATATCAAATGGCAGTGTAGAACCCGGTCCATCAAAAACATAGGCTTTGATGGCTTTATCGCCTCCATATAATGTTAGGAAAGTCAGACAATTTTTAGGTCTTGCTGGCTATCTCCGTAAATTTGATAGTTCTCAACAAAAACAAGAAAAATCACAAATCTTTTGAGAAAAAATGGACCTTGGCTATGGACTGATGAGCATACTAGATTTTTTTAATATATTGTTAATATTTTATCAAGTGAACCAGCTTTGGCCATTTTTAATTCAGAACTTCCTTTCGAATTAAATACAGACGCTGGTAGTCGAGGTTTTGCGGAAATAGTGCTACAAATTCATGATTGCTAGGCGAGTTGTAGCCTATTTTAGCAAAGCCACCTCCGACGCCGAGTCTTGACACCGCTCATATGTGTTGGAAACTTTAGCCGTAGTGTATGTGTTACCGGTAAAGCCCGTTATGCAGTCATACCTAGGTTTGTCTAGGCTAAGTCCGCATTGCCGGGCCACTTTAGGCAAAGTCGGATATTAGTCGATATTTCCGACATTGCCTACACTGTTGTAGGACAATCTTAGGTTTACCAAATATGTAGCAGGCAAAGTCCGAAAAAACATGCCGCATTGGTACCTATTATATTGGGTATAATCAGACACAACTTTAAAATCACAGTGGACCCTTATAAAATATACTTGGTATTGTTTATTATGACACTTATCAAAAAAGTAGGTATTTGCCAAAAAAAAAACTTATCCAAAAAACCAACCAAAAAGATATTGAGGTAGAATCAGAGAGGTCTCTTTGGGTAAAACTAGGGCTCCTGCATGATACACTTTTAACAGAGTACATATTACATAGGGACCATTATAAAATATATTATTAGTGTTAATTATGTCACCTATTAGTACAACATGTCGAATGGTGACACTTGGAATGGTATAACAATTTTAATCTTTTATATTTACAAGAGTTAGTGGTGCATTTTTTAGTACACTTAGGTACATCTTTGAAACCCTTGCTCTCCAAATGAAGAACTGTGTCCACTAATTTCGCGAAGTGATAGTTCTATTCTCAGGACATCTTCGATTTAAAAAAATTATTTCTTGCAACTTTGGATTTGGTTTCTTATATATAGAGAACTGATACACCATGTTTAGTACCGATTTTATGAAAACCATCTGCAGTTTTTTCCATAAAAACTCCTAGTATATTACGGGCATCCCCTTTGCCTCTGCCTAAACTCGAAACTGGCACTGTGACTTTGCTTCAAACGGAGTTTGTCGGATTCCACTGTGATAAGCATTGTTTTCTATAACTGACAGAAACCAAATCAACGCAGAATCGCAGACCCTCCCTCCAACGCTTGGTTTTATTATCTTCCATCCAGGCAAGCAATATGTTTTCAACTTCTGCTCTTTTCGTTCGTAGGGGCCGCAAAACTAGATATTTCGAAAAATCATCCTGGTAATTGAGGATATATTTGAAATCACTATCAGGGCAAGTCTGCATATCGATAAGATCGACTTGTTCTCTCAAATTCACTTCTCGGAATAGCAAAGGTTTTACGGTTATTCCTTTCTTTGGATACTTTTTCTTCTTGTGACAGGCTTCACATAGCCGTAAGTAAAGTGTAATGCATTCTCGAGTTACGTTAGCATATTTGTTGCTTGGTGCTTTATTCATAATATCTCTTTTAGCATGACCACGTCACATTTCCTGTGAGCATTATCTGGCACCTCAAAAAATTCTTGATTGGGGACAAAGTATTTCACTCCAGTGACTTGCGCAGACAATGGCAAAATTAACTTTTTAAGCCCCCAACAAGTAACACATCGTAACGTTTAAGAGGTCGGTATTGAAGAGCTGTTTTTTTGTAAACTTGCTTGGCATCTTCAACTTCTTCAATCAATGCCTCGTACTTCTCTATCGATGGAATGTAAAAAGAATTTATTGGTTTCTGCATACTCTGTAATTTCTCGAAAAATCTCGCCTTCATTTCACCCGTGCCACTCATATCTACTGACATATGTCTTCTTGGTCACAAATCCAATAGCGATTAAACCCAACTGAACACACCGTCCGCCTAATATCAACTTATTTCGGAGTTTGCCTGCTACACATTTAGCAGACCTAGGATTGTCGTACCACAGTGTAGGCAATGTCCGAAATATCGAATAATTTCGAACTTTGCCTAAAGTGGCTTGGCAATGCGGACTTTGCCTAGGCAAACCTAGGTATGACTGCATAACGGACTTTACCGGTAACATATGCATTAAAGCAATTTAGACATTATTTCATAGGTGTCCAGTTTGAATTAATCACAGATTGCAATTCTTTCGAAAGTTCACAATATAAACGAGATTTAATACTTCGAGTTAGTCGCTGGTGTGTTTATATACAAGATTTTTACTAACCAGAATATTGTAAACAAAATCCAAGTGGCACAGAGGGCAATGTAGAGATCATCTTGAATATACCTCTCAGAGACAAAAGTCCAAATCATATCATCAGGAAAAGAACCGGGGTTACAGACGCAGCTGAAAGAATTACAACGCTGAAAAAGAACTGGGCAGGTCATGTTGCCAGAGTCAGAGAAGTGAGATGGACTAAGAGTTAGTGGTGCATTTTTGTGAAATATAAGAAGTCTAGGTCTTCACTAGACACGATACGAATCATAACTGAGGATGTCCCCCAACCCCAACAAGATGGTCAGACGATATTATAAGCGCCGGAGGCAGTGGAATGGTTTACAAGAGGCCTGTGTCCAGCAGTGGCTGATGATGATGTTTCTGAAACCTCTTCCATAAATATATTTTTGATTTATTTATTTTTCAGGTTCCTCCTTCGTCTTTCATTTATATTATCTTGGCTAATCTTCGTTCAGTTTTGATGGGATAATCACGACAGTCCTATAGAGTTCATTTCGGCGAATGTTGGATGTTTTTGAAATGAGTGAATTCCATTTTTTTCTGACGTTTTCCTCTTCATTATCAAAGTTTAAAAATATTTATCAATTAGTTCTACACGTTCAGGCAACTAAGTGTGATTTTGTTTCAGGTGAAAGATACGATTCATATCAAAATTCACACGTGTACAAAACTCATATGAAACTCAACATAGAAAAAGTTTCACCGAGTGATTTTGGAAAATACAAGTGCGTGGCCAAAAATTCCTTAGGAGAAACTGAAGGAACAATACAACTGTACAGTAAGTACCTGCATTATTTTCCCTAGGTATTTTAAAATTGATACGATAGTTGTTGACTATACATTTTTCTTATTTCGATAGAACCAGAAAAATAAATAAATACGACGAAGTTTTGACGAGTTTAAATTCAGAGATGTGGCGTTACTCGACTCCTTTTCTCCGTTTGAAATTTTAATGCTCCCGGGAGTAGAAGTTGATGACAATTTTGCCACATCGTATACATTTTTTTTTATATATATTTTGAGGTAAATAGTTTTAGTTGAGACTATATTATATTTTTTATTATTTAGGGATACCAAAGCCGTCATTGTTAGCCGAACAAATTTCGAACGGTAAGTCCCATCATGATTTAAGGTTTGTGCATTTCAAAATTACAAAATTTTAATATTTTTAATTAATCAAAATTTGTACCTTGGGCGAATTTATAAATGCTTTTGAAATTTCTTGATCCCTAAAAGCTTCTCCAAAGCGCTTGAGCTAAAACTAATATAATAAAGTCGGAGAGCTAGAATTTACATTTATAATATTCGTTCTCTGTAAATCATTTTATCTTATTTCATTTGAAGAAAAAATTATTCAATCCTGATGTTCTCCATCTTTTTTCGCTACCTCATTGTTCCGTTGTCCGCACAGTAAAATTTATTGCTGACCCTCCCAATATGAGCACGGTTTTTTTATTAATATTAATAATAAAACGTATAATAAATAATACGATTTTCGGTGTGTTTTCAGATGTCCACGATCAGACTGGCTCCCTGCTTCGGGACGCGAAATATATGAATTCGAGCGGAAATAAATTTGTGTCCGCTTTCGCCGGCTACTTTTTGCTGCCGCTCTCCAGTTTCCTTTTCTTTTGTACGATAAATCTTTCGGCTTGTGTAGCTGTTGTGTAACAAGTGTGTTGTTGAATAACGACCGGACCAGTTAATTAAGAGAATTATCAATTGGATGTAAGGATACTTGGTACGATAAATAACATACTTTTTTTGGGAGCTTGTCCAGCTTTTTAGTTTAGGGCATCGTCAGAGATAGAAAAGCAGTTGGTAATTGAATACATGAAGTTGGAGCTCAACTAACTTAGGAATGATCTAGTGTGATATTGATATTATTTCGTTCGATATTAATTCAGAAATCTTCCATCGATTCCATTCTCCTTGAGGGATCAGCTTGCATCCTGTTTTTACCCAATTATATACTTCATTCCCTCAACTCCCAATATGTTTACTAGTTTATCCCTGATGATGCCTTGAACAACTAAATTAAAACCAATTTTTTCATCTTTAAAATTCTTCCATGCTACAATGATTCTTTAGAGTTGAAAAATGAAAATGTTTGAGTTTAGTTGCTGATTAAATTTTAGTTCTACATCCAAGCAATAAGCTATTTCTTTCTCTCTATTGACTGGTTTTCTATAATATTTTTCTACGCTCGAAACCCTTCTAGAATAGAGTCAATTTACATGTACAAAACAATTTACCTTCTGTTACCAAACAAAGTATTCTCGTCTTGTATGTTCCTAGAATAGAATTTAAATTTTTCTATTGTTTTAAGTGTAAAATGTGTATATTATTGACTGTATATAATGTTACAATGCAAAGCAACACATTTGACAAAATGTATTTTGTAGGATATATAGAATTAAATTATTTTCTTTGATTTGATGCCGCTTCAAGTCTTAATCCGGGAATTGAATATTTTACGTGAAACGTTTTGAGCTAATCCCGATTAGATACTAAAGCCTGATTAAAACTTGTCGGAGCATATAACTTTGCTTTAACACAGTATTCTAGGAAATTGTATATAAAATGTATTAAGGGTTATTTATGACTGACCTTCCATATCATTAATTTGTAAAAAAATGTATGATGACCAAATTTTCGGAAAACTGTACCTCTAGGTAGGTATATGAGAAGTAGGATGTGAATAATGAAAAATTTGTTAATAAAAAATAATTTTTGAAAATGACTTAGTACTTATTTTATTTTAATTTATTGATATGTAATACCTTTATCTGACCCACTCATCATAGGTATACATACTCATAATGGACTGGTTCTATAGGAAAATAGAAAAATAATATTTTCAGATAGGTAGTTTCTCATTAATTTTAGCAAGTTTTTGGGCAAAATAAACAAACCACTTCGAATAAAAAGACAGAGATGTCGTTAACTTGCATGTTGAGGACCTCTATACAGAAAAGAGTATTTGCACAAAAATTTTATTCAAGAATCTGCATCATATATCCGTGAGAAAGAGTATCTAAATGGCCCTTGCCAAATATAGAGCACTATAAATGATTATTTTCTCAGATATTCAAAATTGAAAATCATCAAAATTTTAAATTTCCAGAAACGTTTTTGATTGGTTTACGTGTCACAACTTGGTACCGGCGTTGTCGGATTGTCGAATTCGTAGGCAAAAAAAAAAACGTATTAAAATTTATTATAAATACATTTTATTCTATCACGAATGGTAAATTATCATTTTATCGACTCAAAACTTGCTGTTAACACTGCTTTATGAATTTCATTTCGACAAGTGGAAATGAAATTCCTTCCCTTATTAGGTACTACAGGTGAATTTAAAATTAGGCTGACAAGGAAATAAAATATCGTCTCAATAGGATGTCGTTAACCGGAAGAGAAATTGTAAGAAAAATTGTTGAAAATCTCTTGGACAACTCTATAATTCAACCTTCACATTCACCTTATGCAAGCCCAGTGTTGCTAGTCAGAAAGAGAAATGGCGAACCACGTTTAGTTTGTGACTTCAGAGTCCTAAACCGAATCACAGTGCCCCGTATTGATGACCAAATTGATCGTTTAAGCAAAAGTAAATATTTCACTATGCTGGTTTTCACCAGATTAAAGTTAATTCTGAATGTGTGGAAAAATTGGCATTTATCATATCCGATGGCCAGTATGAATATTTACGCATGCCTTTCGGCCTTGCCAATGCTCCTTCAATTTTTCAGCGTGCAATTAATATTGCATTACAAAATGAAATACAAAAAGGATTAGCTCTCGTTTACTTAGATGATATTCTTATCACTTTGATGGCTTTATCGCCTCCATCTAATGTTAGGGAAGTCAGACAATTTTTAGGTCTTGCTGGTGTATCTCGTTTTGTTATCGTTTTGTAATACGGTTTTGATTTTGGATACTGATTTGAATAAATACTTGTTTTGAAGACATTCATTGTTTAAATAATACAGTGTCAGGTATGTTGAATTAAAGATTTATTCAATCCTGGAAATTGTGTGTACCGCGGAGAATCATGGAAACGTTATTTAAACCCCCAGAACCACTGAGTCTACATGGCAATGTAGCAGACAACTGGAAAAAGTTTATCCAGAAGTTTGATTTATTTATGACAGCTACAGGTTTAGGCGAAAAGGACGAGGTAAAAAAAGTCGCTGTATTTTTAAGTATAATTGGTGAGGAAGGATTGGACATATACAATTCCTTCACACTGACTGCGACTGAGAAAGCCTCATTGACGTCTATAATAGACAAATTTGAAGCCTATTGTGCCCCGAAAAAAAAATTGATTTTTGTGAGATATGTTTTCAACTCGATAGTTCAAAAAGAAGGTCAGAGTTTTGATAGTTTTGTTACGGAATTAAGAATTTCAGTTAAGTCAACAGAATACAAGGACCCAGATGATATGGTGAGAGACCGAATCGTGTTAGCAATATCAGATAAATCAACACAAGAAAGGCTTCTGAGAGAGCCGAAACTAACCTTGCAAAAAGCAGTGGATCATTGTAGGACTGTAGAAGCAAACAAGTCCCAAGCTCAGGCTCTAGCAAATGAAGCCTCTGTAAGTGGTATCAGACTCAGGAAAGTTTCAAACAGAAGTGATGTGTCTTATGGTCAGCAGTTTTTGTGGCTACAGACATGTTATAGAGGCAAATGCCCTGCATATGGTGAATTTTGGAAGAAACCACTTTGCTAATGTGTGCAAAAAAAAGAGTCTAGGAAAGAAGCGAATGAAAATAGAAGTCAACGGAAAAAAGTGAGTGAGGTGAAAGTGTCAGGATTGACTGGAAATGTTGATAATGACCAGAGTTATAGTGACTCTGATGATTTTTATATTGGGTCATTAGTGAGGAGTGTTGATGGGCTGACGTCGAAAGCTGATATCGTGTGGGCCAAGGAAAAAGTTGTGGAAGGTACAGCTATTGAATTTGAACTGGACACAGGAGCTGAAGTAAGTGTGATTCCTAAACATATTTTAAAAAAGCATGGCATTAAGAAGGACATTAAAGAATCTCGAATAACTTTAATTTCATATGGCAGCCCTGATTTTAGAATCAAGCCCATCGGAGAAGTCTCACTATTGTGTAATATTAATAACAAGTTGACATATTTACCGTTTGTTGTAGTTAATAGTCAACCACGTCAAAATGAAATGCCTTTGTTGGGTCTATCAGGTTGCCTGGAGTTAGAGTTAGTTAAACGAGTTGATTCTGATTTTAATACTTTGGAAGATGTTGAATTTTTGTATCCGAAAGTGTTTGGGGGATTAGGTCAATTCCCAACTGAGCCTAAAATTTTTCTTAAAGAAAATGCTAGACCCCATATTCAGGGAGTGAGACGCATACCTGAAACTCTTCACAATAAAGTTAAATTAAAACTAAAAGGCCTTGAGAATCAGGGCATTATTAGAAATGTTGAGAAGCCTACAGAATGGGTAAATCCCCTAGTAATAGTGAAAAAGAAAAATGGAGATTTGAGGTTGTGTTTCGAATACTTAAATGAAAATATACAGGGTGGACGCTTTTTAATTCCTACAGCCGACGAAATTGCTAGCAAACTCAGTAACAAAGTCATTTTTACAGTATTGGATATGAAAGATGGTTATTTCCAAGTCAAGATTGATGATCAATCTTCGGATTACTGCACGTTTGGCACACCGTTTGGTCGTTACCAATTTTGTCGGCTGCCTTTTGGTTTGAGTTCTGCCCCAGAAGTTTTTCAGAAGAAAAATTTTGAGCTTTTTGGTGATATTGATGGAGTAGAGATTTATTTTGACGATCCGATTATTTCGGGTAAAACAGAGGCTGATCATGATAGAAATTTGAAGCGCGTTCTTGACCGAGCCGTCAAATATAATATTAAGTTTAACCAGGACAAAATACAATTTAAATCAAAAGAAATAACAAGTTTTTTCGAAAGACGGTGTTAAAGCCAGTAACTCTCATATTAATACCATTTTGGAAATGCCGAATCCCCAAAATAAAGCTGATCTCTTAAGATTGCTTGCCATGGCTAAATTTTTGGGTAAGTTTATCCCCAATTTGTCTCCCCTCAGAACCTTGACTCGATACGATGTGGATTGGAAGTGGGCCAGCGAACATGATGAGTCGTTAAGACAATTAAAGCATCTACTGACTAATGCTCCTGTATTGACATTCTTTGACCCTTCCTTGCCAATGGAAATTGAAACTGACGCCTCAAAAAACGGCATTGGCTCTTGTTTATTGTAAAATAGCCACCCAGTAGCCTTCGCTTCGAGAAGTCTAACAAAAAGTGAAGCAAATTATGCTTAGATTGAGAAGGAACTTTTGGCAATCTTGTTCAGCTGTCAAAAGTTTCATTATTATGTTTATGGTGTTAAAAATGTTAAGGTTTGTTTTGACCACAAAACACTAGAGTCAATTTTAAGAAAATGCCTACAGTCTGTATCTCCAAGGCTGCAGAGAATGATCCTTAAATTACTTAATTACGACGTAAAAGTGATATATTATAAGCCAGGAAAATATTTATTTATTCGCAGATCACACTGATGCTTCATTTTGTGTAGATTATGATTTGTTAGGTCGGTGTAAGGATTTTTGTTTGTGTACAGTTCTTTGTAAAATTCTTCTATGATCTTTATTATTTGTTCTCTATTTGATTTCATTATCCCCTCCTTGTCTTTAAGTTGGAAAATTTCCTTTCTACCGTTTGTTAGTTGTTTTCTCAATACTTTCAGGCTTTTGCTTTGTTCTATTGTTTGTACTACTTTATCATAACTATTACCTGATGTATTTCCTTAATGCCTTTGATATATATGTCTTTGTTAATTTCTCTCAGTTTTTGTTGGTCTAAATTTGCTTCCCCTTAGGGTAAGCACATAGTGGAGCGACGAGCAAAGTAGTGAGCAGTGAGGAGAGCAAAGCAGCGAAAACTAACACACGAGATTAAATTGTTTGGCACATAGTGAAGAGCAATGCGGAGATTTAGCAGCGCTGTTAATATCGAGCAAAGTGACGCTTTCAAGCAAGTTTGATTTTTCTACTTTGCTCGTTTGTCTCTGTGTTGTAAAAATAGATGTTGAACGAACAATTAATAAGTAGTATTTTTGTTAAAAATCCATTGTGGAACCAAAGATGAGATACCCACCAACATCATAACCGATATATATTAGATAAGTTGTGGGATGATGTAGCAAGAAAAATCAAGTCAACAATCAAGTGAAAAATGAATTATATTATTAATTGATTTCTGCTGGACCAATTGGGATTATGGTAAAGTTAGTCCATTTTTTCACCAATTTTTGATCTATTTTCTCCACAATGTAATCAAAAGTTTTAATAATCATTAAAAGATAAGACTGAAATTTTTCTGGATGTTGCCGTAATTCCTCATATAAATGGTGATATTTTAAAAGACGACGTTTCGGCTAAAACCAAATCATTCATTTTTATCTTTTTCACTCGAGTATTAACTCGCCACTATGTGCATACAATTCTTTCATCCACTCTCTGCTCAATTGACGCTCTGCTCTCCGCTCCACTATGTGCTTAGCCTTACTCTACGTTCTTCCATTATTGTTTGGGTTTCAATTATGTTTTAATTTAAATCATTTATACTTTGAGTTGTTGCTTTGTTATTCAAGGAGTTTTCGATATGTTTTTGAAAATTTCTTACTTCCTTTGGGTGTGTCCGATACCGGCCGTTTGGGCGTAGCCGT